GACACTGAAATGTCATGCAACAAAGCAATTGTCTTCTTACCGATGGCTACATATCCTCCACACACAGATCTCCATCTCCGAGTTACAGAAAAATCAGATGTGGTTTGCAACAATAACAAGAAAAATAGACAAATATAAAACCAATTTAAAAAGACAACAAGAAATTGGTTTTGCTCAACAACTGCAGAAAGATGAGAGACCAGAAATATGTATTTTTTAAAAAGTCAAAATATTATAAGGAAAATTTTGTGAAAATTAAAACTAGTCAGGAAATGGCAGTGGGGAATTGTTCCTTAAAGAAATCCTAGCTCGATATTAAACTAATCAATCAGTCATTCAGCAAATATACATTGCTTCTTTTTACTAGAACTCTCCAATGGGAGTCAGGAATTCTGAGCACTGACAGGTGATTCCACTAACTAGTTGTGAGACCCTGGAAAGATCATTTAACCTGTCAGGACTTTTCTTAGCCATAAACCAAGGAGGTTGGATGCAGCATGGGCCTGGGCTAGAATCAAATTCATTGGGCTTTTGTTTTTCACTCTAACTGGCCAGTGAGAACCTGTTGTTGGCATCTCTTCCCAACTCTGCCCCAAGGGGCATCACATTGGTAGTTTGAAATCAACCACGATGGGAGTGTTACTCCATGGAAATCAGTAAATGTCGCAAATCAATGCTTTTTCTTCTGAGAACCAGTTGTTAAGTTTACCAACACACCATGCCACTGAGCCAAACCAACCCGTTTCAAGCTGAGCTTCTCTGCTGTGGTCCAATCTCTGTGTCTAAGCAACTTTCACTGTATCTCTACTTTGATTATATCCCCTCTGAGACCTAGACATCAACACTGAATGCAGTTCTTTCTGCTAAAGAGATAGCAGGGCAAGAGGAGGAGGAGGAAGGGGGCCCTGGCAAGGCAGCTCAGTTGGTTGGGGTGTCATCCTGATATCTCAAGGTTGCGGGTTTGATCCCCGGTCAGGGCACATACTCAGGTTTCAGGTTCGATCCTCAGACAGGGCTCATGCGAGAGGCAAGGATCAATGCTTCTCACATGGATGTTTCTCTTTCTCCGTCTCCCTCCCTCTCTCTCTAGAATCAATGAAAAGCAAATCCTCAGGTGAGGAATTTATTTTAAAAAAATGTCAATGAAAGCGTGGAAAAACAAATCAGTGTTTCTCTCAAACCAATTTTTTAAAAAAGTAAACTGACAGATCTTAGGGGAGAGACTAACCACAGAATTTGTATGCATATATGCATAGCCTAAGGACTCACACACAGTGTGGTGAAGGCCTGGGGTTGTGCAGAAGCTGGGGGAGGTGGGAGGGGGAAATAGGGGACAGCTGTAGTACTGTCAATAATAATAATAATAATAATAAAACCTTTAAAAGAAAGCAAGAAGGGAGAATGGTCCCTCTATTAAACTTGGCCTCTTGGGTATGACATGGATGCCCACGGTGTCGGTGATGATGCTCTCAGGGAGGTGGAAGAAAGGTTCTGTGTGGAAAAGGAATAAACCACAAAGAAGAAGGGACACCTTTCCACGGGTTTTCTTAATAAATAAAAAGCCAGGGAGGGATCTCTGAGGAGTCATACATCCTGCTAACTAAGCTGGTATTCTGCTTTTATTCACACACCTCTGATCATCTGTCACTTAAGCCAAGAAAAGATAAAATAAGAATTATAGGCTCCAAAAAATATATACTGGAAGGGGGTCCACATTGTGTTTGTTTTTTATTCCCTGCTCCTCCCACATTTGTGCCGATCAAGAGGAAGACATCCATCAGAGTAAGGTATCCTGCTGCCTCAAGGAGGGAAACATTCCTGAGCAAATTGAAAAACACTTTTTTTCCCCAAAGCATTAATCGTCAGTTTAAAGAAAATATCCCCACCCCAGGATATTCTTCTATTGATTTTTGGATAGAGTGGAAGGGAGGAACAAGAGAGAGAGAAACATTGATGTGAGAGAGAGACATCAATTGGTTGCCTCCCGTATGACTCCAACTGACCAGGGCCAGGGATCGAACCTGCAACTCAGGTACATGCCCTTGACCAGGAATCAAACCCACGACCCTTTGGTCCTCAGGCTGATGCTCTAACTGTTGAGCCAAACCAGCCAGGACAAGAAAATTAGGGGCTATATCTGCACTGCCCCACGTATCCATAGCCCCATGAGTCTATAACATACGTGATAGATACAAGGCTAGTCTGACTTCAGATGTGCTCTAAATATAGAATACACCCCAGATTTTGAAAACGCAATTTTTAATGTGGGCTAAAAATATTTTGGATATATTGGGTTAGATAAAATATATTTATAAAATATTTTTAGTGTTTTTTAAAAACATGTTTTTATTAAATAAAGAGAGGGGGGGGGAGGAAGAGAGAGAGAGAAACCGATAAGAAAGAAACACCCATCTGTTGCCTCCTGCACACCTTGTACTGGAAGCAAACCCACAACCTGGGCGTGTGCCCCGACCAGCACCAAACCAGCAACCTCTCGGTGGACGGTCCGACGATCAACCAACTGAGACATCCTAGCCAGGGCTCTTTTTACTTTTTTTGATGTGGCAACATAATGTTGCCTATTATGTTTCCATTGCACTGAGCTGGGTTAGAGTTTGGATCTCAGACCCAGCCTTTGAACTGGTCATCCAACTTCTGTTTGAAGACCATTAGTGGCAGGGAACTTTCTCCTAAGCAGAGTATTGTACTTGAGACAGCCCCCGTGGAAGATTTTCACCGCTCTTAGTTTTAAGCCGTAGGGCCATGAACAATATATTAATTGCCCTGCACAGAACAGGCTCTCATGACGGCCACTGTGCGGTCACCCTGCGGCTGTCCACACACCCAGGTGGAGCAGCTCCCCTTCAGCACCACTGCTGGGTGCAGCGGCGAGTGGCTTTGTAGCCAGACTGCGGAGAAATACCTCCTCAGGCTCCAGGAATCTTTTCTCAGCATTGTTTCTTGAGAAACCTCTCCTTAAATACTTAATATACTGCTTTTATTGGACAACTAATTACTACTATAGGAAAAAAGTCACTGCTTTTAATAGTTAACACTGCTGAAGTCATTACCATAGACCATACTATGTTCTAAACATTTACTCACTGCATCACTGCAGTGGGGCAGGTAATATTAAACTCCCCACGTTACAGACAGGGAGACCAGAGCACTAAGAAATTAAGTAGCTTCCACGCAGGGGGCAAACCATACTGCCTTCGCTTGTGTTTCTATTTTTTATTTTAAAATTTTTTTTCCTTTATTGATTTTAGAGAGAGAGGAAAGGACAGGAAGAGAGAGAGATAGAAACATCGATAAGAGAGAACATTGACTGGCCGCCTCCTGCACGCCCCACCTCTGGGGATCGGCCGACAACCTGGGCATGTGCCCTGACCGGGAATTGAACCAGTGACCTCTTGGTGCATGGGTCGACGCTCAACCCGTGAGCCACACCGGCCAGACCACTTGTGTTTTTATAATCACTACGACTTAATGCTCATTACGATTGAACATTTGAACATTTTCCGTGATCAAATACTCTCTCCCTGAAAAGCTTCCTGATTATGTGGAGGCTCCATCTTACCCCTGCCCCCCAGTCCTGCCCATGTTGTTGGCACAGTGGCGAGCAGTGTTTGTAGATCTGAGAGAATGAAGGGGGATCAGGAACCAAATACTCAAAGTTGAAATCCCTTCTTTTCTCATCTGAAAAGAGAACTAGGAGCTTCCTAATTTATTTATGTATTTTACCTAGAAATCATGAACTGATGAAATAACAATAGAAAATTAACATTAATTTCAGGGAAAAAAAGGCACATCTAGGCAATGAGTTTGGAAAGTTATTTTTCATCCTTAAAGCCTGTGTTTTCTGAAAGGAGACAAATATCTTCTAAATGTCTATGTACTTTTTATGATAATAATTTTAAATAAAACTTTCATATCAGTTTTTATTAGGTATGTAGTCACGATCAGAAAAGAGAGGGGGGGGCAAACTGGGAGTAAAAACTCTCAGTCTCTCTCATTCTGAAGTTTAACCTGGTGACGTGTAGGGCAGTGATTTTCAACCGCTGTGGCTGCAAGAATTTTTAAAACATGCAGTACCTGACCTAGTCAGGAACACCGACCTCTTTCCCTTAGACTGCCAAACCAAAAAATGACAACACCCAATACAACAACAGCCATCCAGTGTAAATGAATCGAAACTCTACCTATTTTTGTTGTTGTTATATCGACAAAAACTATGGCATATTTTTTGGTGTGTGGCAGAATTTTAGTAATTAGTTTATGTGTGCCACGAGATGAAAATGAAAATCGTCGCTCTAGAGAAATAGGAAAGAGGGACTCGGTGATGCCTTTGAGAATTTGAAAAGCTCTGAATCGGTTCCTCGTGAGTCATCACCAGTCTCCAGAAAAAAAGAAACAAAAAAGAGGAATAAATCAGTTTGAACAACTTGGGCTACAGATAAGGATGAACTTTCTAGCAATAAAAACTAGGAGTGATTACCATGGTTCACGGAATAAAAGACAAATGGTGGCGATGACATAAGAAGCCTTTGGGGGAGACCCGTGCTCCTGTCCTTAGACCTACAAGGAGGAGAGACACCCGAACTGCACCCCCTGCAGCCAAAAACACTAAGAAGACACTTGCTGCGGATTAGGTGGAAATGTTTCAAAACGCAAACCAGAATGCACAAACCACAGAACTCTCTCTAAGAATACAGCAGGGAAGGGACAGGGAGCCACGAGAGGAGTCCAGAGGAGGACCCCGCTTCTGTGGGGCTCTGGGCACCTCTGACCCCAGAAGCAGTGCCCCCACCCAGCCTCCAAGCCTGGCACCCAGGCGCAGGCAGCAGATTTCCTGCAGAGCAGGTGGCACAGGGGAGTTCTGCTTCCCTCCTGGCCACAGGTATTGAAAGGAATCCCTTGGCACTAACCCTCCAAAAAGGAAGGTGTGCCACAGACCCCAGACCCCAAGTCAGGAAGCCCCCACCCCAGAGCCGACTTACCCAGCAGCTGCACAGCTACTGGAATGAGAAGCAGGAAAACCAGGAGCGGGGACAGCCTCATGGCCGGGCTGTGCTGCTCCCCAGACGGAGCGGAGGGCGCACCAGAGAACCAGAGCGAGGAGGGCGCGGATCACCCCTTCCCCACTCACTCCTTCTGCAGCCCTGCTGAAAAGGAGGGTGGAGGAAGCTCTCACTTTTAAAGGGCTTCTGAAATTAGGGAAAACCTCCAATAAGGAGATATCCTGTCACATGAGGGTGGTTAGAAAAACAGGAATTCAAAGTTACAACTTTGCTTCGTAAGCTAACTTCTGAGAAGAGCAGATACAGAGGAAGGGGAGAGCGGGACATGTGGGAGAAGGGTAAGAAGAGGGGGAGGTGAGCGGCCGAGCGGGAGAGCCGGCTGCGGGCAGAAGTGAACCAGCCGGGACCTGCGCCTTCTCCTGGGCTGTGCAGGGCCCGGAGGCCACCACCTGCCGGGGGAACTGAGGAGCCCTCTAGAGCAGCCGGGTCCAGGGCCCTCAGCAGACAGCCCTCTCCACAGGGACAGAAATGGCAGGCGCTAAAAGGGACAGTTTACAGTAGATACATTTTCTTTTCTTTCTTTCTTTTTTTTTAAATCCTCACCTGAGGAGATTTTTCCATTTATCTTCAGATAGAGTGGGAAGGGGAGACAGAGAGAGAGGGAGAGAGAAAGAGAGAGAGAGAGAGAGAGAGAGAGAGAGAGAGAGATTGGTTGCTTCCTGCATGACCTGACCAGGGATGAACTGCAAGCGAGATACATGCCCTTGGCTGGAATCGAACCCGCAACCCATTGGTCTGCGGGCCAGCACTCTAACTGCTGAGCCAAACCAGCCAGGGTGATTCATTTTCTTAATGGCTGAACTCAGTCCCCCTCATGCTCCAAATGCAGGGCTTAGAGTGTCTTTTTCCTCTTAGAAAGCTTCAAAAGAAACCATTCACCCGGAGCTTGGCTCCTTTAGCTAGGAGAATAACGAGAGAGGCGAACCCTAAGTACAGTAAGGCTGGGAAGGAGAAAGTTCTAGAAGTCTTCCTCTGGAAAGTTCTGCAGAAAGCAAGAGCAAACATGGACACAGGATTTGCAATAAAGCTTTGCTGCAGCCTCACCCTAGTGGGCCTCTTCAGACTGTCCTCTTGCTAGGAGAGAATCTGCTTGTTTGATCAAAAAACATATATTCATTACATCACAGGTGAAATTCTTTTCTTTAAAAAAAATAGTAACAAATCTATCACTCAGCACAATATTAACCCCCAAACATCTACTGTGTTATTTTTCAGAAGTCAAACATGAATGAAGAACATTTTGAATCAGGTACCGGTAATTAGACAGGCATCCCACAGCTGGGACATGGGGCATGGTAGCCTTTCACATAGAAGCTGCTGAGAGTGTAGTTTTTGAAATTTGAATGAACAGTTTGTCTTCAAGTGGAAAGCTCCCAGATTCACTATCTCTATGATAAAGTTATAAATTTCTCTTTCTCATAAGAAAAGTGTTCTTTGTTTTTGTTGCAGTGGTGGTGGTCATTTTTAACACTCTAAATGGAAGGTTTCTCTGACAGGAGGAGCAAGATGGTGAAAAATGTAGGCCCCAGGACAAACTGTTTCTTTTCATACAGCCTATGCTTAACTGACCAAAGAGTTGGTTACAAAACGGAAAAGAGGAAACAAACACATTTCTTTCTAAAACATTGCTTCACTGATTTATCATTGGGAAAAAAAAAAAAAAAAAAGGTTTTTCGAATGAGTCATTCGTGGCTTTTAAAGGTAAATAAGTTACACAAATTCAAAAGGCTTGGCCTAATTTAGACTTATATCCATTTCAAAAACAAATAAAATTAATTGAATTTTTTGTACACTCACATTCAAGGGTCTTTTGTATTATTACACAAATGTGTCATATGGCCAGAGAGGATCACTGGCAAAATCTGTGGCTTTAAAACAAAGAAAGCATGCAGCTGTCCAATTTTCCCAACACCATTTATTAAAGAGGCTGTCTTTACTCCACTGTATGCTCTTGCCACCTTTGTCAAATATTAATTGAGCATATTGCCTTGGGTCCATTTCTGGATTCTCTGTTCTGTTCCACTGGTCTATATGCCTGTTCTTGTGCCAGTACGAGGCTCTTTTGATTACAGTGGCTTTGTAGTATAACCTGAAATCTGGTAATGTGATCCCTCCAACTTTGTCCTTCTTTTTCAAGATTGCTATGGCTATTTGAGGTCTTTTTTGGTTCCATTTGAACTTTTGAAGTATTTGTTCTAGTTCTGTGAAGTATGTCATTGGTATTTTAATGGGGATTGCATTGAATCTATAGATTGCTTTGGGTAGTATGGACATTTTAATAATGTTAATTCTTCCAACCCATGAACAAGATATGTGCTTCCACTTTTTTATATCTTACTCTATTTCTTTTTTCAATGACCTGTAGTTTTCTGCAAATAGGTCCTTTATTTCTTTGGTTAAGTTTATTCCTAGGTATCTTAATTTTTTTGCCGCGATGGTAAATAGGATTTTTTTTTAGTTTCTCTTTCTGTGAGTTCAGCATTGGTGTACAAGAATGCCATCGATTTCTTGCGTTAATTTTGTATCCTGCTACTTTTCCAAATTCATTTATTAAGTCTAGTAAATTTTTGATGGAGTCTTTGGGGTTTTCTACATACAGTATCATGTCATCTGTGAATAATGACAGTTTTACTTCCTCGTTTCTAATTTGGATCCCTTTTATTTTTTCTTCCTGTCTGATTGCTGTGGCTAAGCCAAAAATGCAACTAGACCAACAACTTACACCCTACACAAGAATAAACTCAAAATGAATTAAAAACTTAAATGTGACTCATGAATCCATAAAAATCCTAGAAGAAAATGTAGGCAACAAAATTTTAGACATCACACACAGCAGAAATTTCACTGATACATCACCTAAGGCAACAGAAACAAAGGAGAAAATGAACACATGGGACTTCATCAAATGCAAAAGCTTCTGCACAGCAAAAGAAACAATCATCAAAATGGAAAGGCAACCCACTATATGGGAGAGCATAATTGCCAATAACATATCAAATAAGGGGTTAATTTCCAAAATATATAGAGTACTCATACAACTCAAAAAAAGGAAGACAAAGAACCCAATTAAAAAATGGGCAGAGGAGCCGAATAGACACCTCTCCAAACAGGACATACAAATGGCCAAGAGACATATGAAGAAATGCTCATCATCACTAATCATCAGAGAGATGCAAATTAAAACAACTAGGAGGTATCACCTCACACCTGTCAGAATGGCCGCCATCAACAAATCATCAAACAACAAGTGTTGGCGAGGGTGTGGAGAAAAGGGGACTCTAGTACACTGCTGGTGGGAATGCAGACTGGTGCAGCCACTATGGAAAACAATATGGTGTTACCTCAAAAAATTAGAAATTGAACTGCCATTTGACCCAGTGATCCCACTTCTACGAATATACCCTAAGAAGCCTGAAACACCAATCAGAAAGAATATATGTACCCCCATGTTCATAGCAGCACTATTTAAAATAGCTAAGATCTGGAAACAGCCCAAATGTCCATCAGTAGACGAATGGATAAAAAAGCAGTGGTACATATACACAATGGAGTACTATGCAGCTGTGAGAAAGATCTCTTATCCTTTGAGATGACATGGAGGGACCTGGAAAGTACTATCCTAAGCGAAACAAGACAAACAGGGAAAGACAAGTATCATATGATCTCACTTATCTGTGGAATATAATGAAAATAACAATCTGAGGAAAAGGGTAGTCCCAGAGACGTGGAAGTGAGGTACAGACTGACAATCCCCAGAAGAAGGGTGGTGGGGGAGAGATAAACCACAGAACTTGTATGCATGTGTGCATGAACAATGGACATGGACAACAAAGCTGGGGACAGGGTGGGGAGGGAAAGGGAGGGGGGAATCAGTGGGGGGAAAGGAGAAACATCTGTAACAAAAATAAATTAATTAATTTTAAAAAATAAACAAATAACTAAAAATAAAACAAAGAAAGCCAACTATCTCACGAAAAAATTGACCTCATGACCCTGACTTCACTGAAACAAAGATGTATGGGGCTAGAAGAGTGGCAACCAGTTCATTCCATCTAAACAACTACTGAACTGACAGGAACTGCCTGAAGTAACTATTTTGAACTCTGGACTCCAGGAGAAAACTTGTATCCAGTGGAGAGCACCATGGAAAGGCTGGTAAATTTGGGTGTTTTCACTCTTGGCCTGTGGTCGGGGCTACCTCCTTCCATCCCCCCGCGGTACGGCACACAGCAGTGAGGGTGGCAGACTGAGTTTCCTAGAGCAACCTGCTGGAATCAGGGTGGACAGCAAAGACCTTCTCCTCCAAATGTCACAGCTGTGTGTTCCAGAAGACCTAAAACTATCAACCTTTTGGAAAAAAACAACAGGAAAAATCCTTATGAGATTGGATTTGGTAATGATTTTACATATATATATGTAAAATATACCAAAAGCACAGGTAACAAAAGAAAAAACAGATAAATTGGGCTTCATCAAAATAAAAAACTCAGTGCATCAAAGATACTATCAAAAAAGTGAAAAGATGACCCATAGAATGGAGAGAATATTTGTACATCATAAATCTGATGAGGAATTCATATCCATATATATAAAGAAGGTCAATGCAACAGCAGCAACAAAAACAAAGCAATGCATTACAACCAAATTGCTCTTGTGCGCTGCTGACAGGAGTATACTTGTGGCCACTGCGGGAAACTGTTTGGTGGGTCCACAGAAAGTTAAACATAGAACTGCCATATGATCCAGCAAGCCCCCTTCTAGATATGTACCCTAAAGAATTGAAAACAGACACTCAGCCTGGCCAGTGTAGCTCAGTGGTTGAGCATCGACCCGTGCACCAAGAGGTCACCGGTTCAATTCCCGGTCAGGGCACATGCCTAGGTTGTGGGCCAGAGCCCCAATGGGGGACATGCAGGAGGTGGCAATCAATTTTTGTTCTGTCTCCCTGTCCCTTCCTCTCTCTCTAAAATCAATTTAGAAAAAAATGTTTTAATATTAAAAAAAAAGAAAATAGAGACTCAGACATTTGTAAACCAATGTTCATAGCAGCATTTCTTCTTACTAGCTGAAAGATAGAAGCAACCCAAGTGTCCATCAG